ATGACTAGTAAGGTGTGAGAAAGAGGAGCATTACCAGCCCTTTACAAATGACTCTCTCTGCTGTATGACTGTACTGTATAATCATCTGATGAGAGGGAGAGATAGAGAATGAGCGAGAGAGAGATTGGAAGAGAGGAAGCGAATGGTAGGGATGAGAGAGAGGCTTTAGGGGAGAGCTGGATGGAGGACTGGTCTTGAAAAGCGAGAGAAAAGGTGCTGGAAAGAGAGTGATAAAGTGAACGAGGCAGATTAGGTGTGAGGGAGAGCGAGTGAGAGAGAGAGAGAGAGCACCGGAGGGAGTGAGAAAGAGAAGGCAAAGATGAGTCTCAGACCAGCTAATTATGATTAGAGAAATAAAGAAGGAAGCAATCATATGCTAATTTCATGGCCTTATTATCTGCCATACTGAGAGTGATGACAGCTGTGCTTCTTCTCCTGTCCTTCCTAACTCTCTCTATCTCTCTCTTTTTCTCTCACCCCCCTCATTCATTCTTCAGGAGTTGTAGCAATGAGCTCAACATGTTCATTCATCATAGGTTTGTCGTATCCAGCTGTGGGTCCTGTTATAATTAACAGCACAGAGCCATAGGGCCTCACAGACAGACACACACTCAGAGACAGACACACACAGACACTGACACACACAGACACACGCAGACAGACACACACAGACACAGACAGACAGACAGACACACACAGACAGACACACGCAGACACACACAGACACACACACACACACAGACAGACCCACACAGACAGACACACAGAGACCCTTCATTTTGGGGGTCCCCCTGTTGAATCTACAGTATTATCCATATCATTATAGTCTCATCCAACGGGGCTCTGAGGCATTTATGATACCCGACCCCCCTCCTCCTCACACACAGACAGACACACACACACACACACACCTTCCTGCCCCTCACACAACCCCCCCCCCCCCCCCCCCCCCCCCCCCACACACTCCTTTTCTCTGTCACGGTCAATTAGGTTCTCCATTTCCCCAGTTGCCCTCCTCACTGGTGTTAGGCCAATGTTACTCTCTCTCTTTTTTCTCCCCCTCTTTCTCTCTGATTCACTTCATTTATCATCTTACTCAACTCTACCTTTTTCTTTCGAGCACCATTTTCACGTAATCTGACGTCAGTGTTTTAAAACACTCACTCTTACAGAAAAAGTGTACACCAGTGATTCCCAACCCTGGTCCTCCAGTTCCCCGGACAAGCACACCTGATTCACCTCGTCAATTAATCATCAAACCCTCAATGAGTTGAATCAGGTGTGTTTGTCCAGGGATACAACAAAAATGTGTGCTGTTGGGGGAAACTGGAGTATATAAACTTAGAGAGAACAACAGGATTCAATGCTCCTAACAGTTAATGCTGATGTAAAAAGGGCTTTATAAATTCATTTGTATGGTTTAAGTTTACCACACTGTCTTAACACAGGCTTAGTTGTACTCTAGATCCAAAGCTTCAGACACAACTCTTTCCTCCCACAAGTTAATGAGAGTCTGTGTTCAAGGTCGTTTCTGAAATTATTATAAAACATATTTTTTTTAAGATGGCCTGAAGGTGATTTTGATGTTCCGTTATGGGAGAAATATAGCATTTTCTAATTTTCCTTTGTCTGGCTGTCAGTCTGATGTTATTCATTCGCAGGACCTTTGTGATTCTATTAACGGCTTGTTTGATGTGAGCTTTATTCAATAATGCAACAAATCACTCAGACACTCCACTCACACACAAAGGGGGGGGGGGGGGGGGGGGTTGAAAATATCATTTTTGAGTATTTATGAGTCAGCCTCTGGCTATGCATCAATCTCTGTCAGAGCTAACCTTTGGTTACCGTGGCAGCAGTGATTGTGTTTCTGAGTGAAATGTTTTATATAAAAAGACAGGTGTGTGTGTGGCAGGACTCAGAGCTGAGAATGTTTCTCCTCAGTATTGTATTAATGATTGGCATATATTTATTAAGACAGACAGATCGGTAAATTAGTGTGTTGTGTGTGCGTTCGTGTGTGTGTTTTTGTGTGAGAAGCAAAGAGCCTAATGCATTAGAATATGTTCTGAGAAGCTTACCTTCGTGCAAGAGTGTTAAGTCTACTTTGACCCCCAATTGTTGTGTGTGTGTGTGTGTATGTGTGTGTGTGTGTGTGTTGTCATGATGATAAACCCATGAAGTTGACCTAAATGTCACATTCAGTGTGTTCTCATTCAATTAGGCTGGGTAATATGTTATAGACTGGGTAATTGGACGAGCAAGCTGTCGATGGATGACTATAGGCATTACCTCATCCCCCTGGTCACATGACCAGAAGACTCACGGATGACTCACACACACGGTCACATTTGTGGCCCCCTGCATTCCCCCACCGCTTCCAATACACCGCTTTACAACACAGCTGCTCAGATTAGAGTGTCTCTCTCTCACACACCGTGTCTCAGAAGGTAGTCGCCTCATTGCTTCAGACAGATCCCCAGCTTATTCTCTGTGGAGGTGGTTGGTGTGAGTCAGAGACAGAAAGGTCAGGGTTGTTTCCATTGTCTTCATTTGTTCCTGCTAGCCAGACTTGTGATGTGGAGAGAGAGAGCGACATGAAGAGAGAGAGAGTGAGAGAGGGATAGAGACAGAGGGGGGAGAAGAGACAGAGGGGGGGGTGTAGAGACAGAGGGGGGATGGAGACAGAGGGGGGAGAAGAGACAGAGGGGGGGTGAAGAGACAGGGGGGTGGTAGAGACGAGGGGGGGAGAAGAGACAGAGGGGGGAGGAAGAGACAGAGGGGGGGTAGAGACAGAGGGGGGAGAGAAGAGGGACAGAGGGGAGAAGAGACAGAGGGTAGGTGTAGAGGACAGAGGGGGGAGAAGAACAGAGGGGGGGAAGAGACAGGAGGGGGGTAGAGACAGAGGGGGGAGGAAGGAAGAGACCGAAGACAGAGGGGGGAATAGAGACAGAGGGGGGGTTAGAGACAGCGGGGGGTTAGAAGAGACAGAGGGGGGGAGAAAGAGACAGAGGGGGGTGGGGGTAGAGAACAGAGGGGGGAGAAGGGACAGAGGGGGGGGTAGGTAGAGACAGAGGGGAGAAGAGACAGAAGGGGGGTAGAGACAGAAGGGGGGTAGAAGAGACAGAGGGGGGTTAGAGAAGAGGGGGGTTAGAGGACAGAGGGGGAGAAGAGACAGAGGGGGGAGAAGAGACAGAGGGGGGAGAAGAGACAGATGGGGGGGTAGAGACATAGGGGGGAGAAGAGAAAGAGGGGGGAGAAGAGACGGAGGGGGTAGAGACAGAGGGGGGGGTGAAGAGACAGAGGGGGGGTGGAGAGACAGAGGGGGGGTGGAGAGACAGAGGGGGGTAGAGACAGAGGGGGGGTAGAGACAGAGGGGGGAGAAGAGACAGAGGGGGGGTAGAGACAGAGGGGGGGTAGAGACAGAGGGGGGGTAGAGACAGAGGGGGAGTAGAGACAGTGGGGGGGGTAGAGACAGTGGGGGGGTAGAGACAGAGGGGGGGATTAGAGACAGAGAGGGGGAGAAGAGACAGAGGGGGGGTGGAGACAGAGAGGGGGAGAAGAGACAGAGGGGAGAGAGCGACAGAGAGGGAGAGAGAGGGAGACAGAGAGAGATATAGAAAGGGCTGAGGCTACAGACTGAAGGAGCCATCACTGCTAAATCTCCCTCCCCAGAGAACTGACTTTTCCAGCCAGAGATATTCACTAGTATGAAATCCAGACACAGACAGACATGGTCCTCAGACTGACTCTCAAACATACCGTCAGGAACATAACGGCCAAATCCCCTGGCTGGTCTCAAGAGCCATCAGCTCTGGGACTTTGTGTGTGCCTCCATGTAGCTATGTCCATGATGTCTGTGTTTCTGACCTAAGAGCTCAGCGGGACCCGTCTTTCAGCCATCATAGCCTTGCTGTGCTGGAGGCTTGGGACTGGGAGCTCGCATCTGTTATGTATTGTACTGCAGCTCAGGGACATATAGGACTTCTGGTTCCCCAGTGCAGGGGTTTCCAACCTTTTTTCCTCGTTTTCACATTTGAAAAATGACACGCCTATTTAAGATAGCTTATATTAAATACACCACCAACTAGATTTAGTTTAATTTAAGGGACCTAGGAAGATTGTTGTTTTGAAGCTTATTTCCTGCAATTCTACGTAGTTTTAGGAAGGCTATTTAATAGTAATAATAATGGATAAGGAAAATACATTTTAGACCTGATTTCCCCAAATGTTATTCCGCTACCAAATGTTTTATTATAATAATTTATATGAACTGTACATTTAATTATACAAATTCTCTTTTACAGAAAGTGAATAGATCAATTGAAAAGAACAGAGTCACACATTCTGTAAAATTACTTCCCAAGCAATGTCTAATTTCTTTGACTCCTCGACTTTAGAAGGTCGCATCTTGATCTGGCATTTTACCGCTTGTTTCTAGCCTAAAGCATCACGGATGTGTGTGTTTATACCGATCTAAAACTACTATCGCGACTAAAAACGAATATATATATATATTTTTTTTTCTTTATTCAAGGAAGATCCCGCGCCCAAATCCCCCCCACGAAACGTTGGTGCCCCCTATGGGGTGGGGCATGCCCCCTGCCCTAGTGTATACTGGAGAATACAGACCCCTACTCCCATGCAGTATGCTAGTCCCCCTGCCCTGGTGTATACTGGAGAATACAGACCCCTACTCCCATGCAGTATGCTAGTCCCCCTGGACTGGTGTAGACCACTGAGCTACAGTCTTTTAATATATACAAATAATAATAATATATTCCAATTTGCAGATGCTTTTATCCAAAGCGACTTACAGTCACGCGTGCATACATTTTACATATGGGTGGTCCCAGGAATCGAACTGACTGTCCTGGCCTTGCAAGCACCATGCGCTACCAACTGAGCTACAGAGGACCTCTTCAACACTCATCACTGTGTGTCTGTGTGCTTTCAGCCCTGGTCGCTCACCCATCTCTTTTGATCATGAGATCGTCATGATGAACCATGTCTACAAGGAGCGCTTTCCCAAGGTACAGACTGACCAGGACAAACTCTTTATTCATTTGTTTATTATGACTTATTTGACATCAAAACATTCAGAAATGAAATACCTGTAATTCAAATATTAACCAGTTTATGACAGTCCTTCAAATGGCTTTTCCATTGTAATAAAGCTTACTGTGAGAGCTGTGTGGCAGGGGGCATATGTGTGACTCACCTCTACCCCCCCTCCTCCAGGCCACGGCTCAGATGGAGGACCGGCTGGCTGACTTCTTGTCGTCCTCGGCCCCTGACAAGGTGGTGCCCCTGGCCGACGGGGTCCTCAGCTTCATCCACCACCAGGTCATAGAACTGTCCAGAGACTGCCTGGATAAAAGCCGTGAGGGCTGCATCACATCACGCTACTTTTACGAACTGCAAGAGAACCTGGAGAAACTGCTGCAAGATGTAAGTGGACTATGTCGTTTTCATTTGGGGGGCTTTACAGTGAGGGGAAAAAAGTATTTGATCCCCTGCTGATTTTGTACATTTGCCCACTGACAAAGAAATGATCAGTCTATAATTTTAATGGTAGGTTTATTTGAACAGTGAGAGACAGAATAACAACAAATACATCCAGAAAAACGCATGTCAAAAATGTTATAAATTGATTTGCATTTTAATGAGGGAAATCAATATTTGACCCCCTCTCAATCAGAAAGATTTCTGGCTCCCAGGTGTCTTTTATACAGGTAACGAGCTGAGATTAGGAGCACACTCTTAAAGGGAGTGCTCCTAATTTCAGCTTGTTACCTGTATAAAAGACACCTGTCCACAGAAGCAATCAATCAATCAGATTCCAAACTCTCCACCATGGCCAAGACCAAAGAGCTCTCCAAGGATGTCAGGGACAAGATTGTAGACCTACACAAGGCTGGAATGGGCTACAAGACCATCGCCAAGCAGTTTGGTGAGAAGGTGACAACAGTTGGTGCGATTATTCGCAAATGGAAGAAACACAAAATAACTGTCAATCTCCCTCGGCCTGGGGCTCCATGCAAGATCTCACCTCGTGGAGTTGCAATGATCATGAGAACGGTGAGGAATCAGCCCAGAACTACACGGGAGGATCTTGTCAATGATCTCAAGGCAGCTGGGACCATAGTCACCAAGAAAACAATTGGTAACACACTACGCCGTGAAGGACTGAAATCCTGCAGCGCCCGCAAGGTCCCCCTGCTCAAGAAAGCACATATACAGGCCCGTCTGAAGTTTGCCAATGAACATCAGAATGATTCAGAGGAGAACTGGGTGAAAGTGTTGTGGTCAGATGAGACCAAAATCGAGCTCTTTGGCATCAACTCAACTCGCCGTGTTTGGAGGAGGAAGAATGCTGCCTATGACCCCAAGAACACCATCCCCACCGTCAAACATGGAGGTGGAAACATTATGCTTTGGGGGTGTTTTTCTGCTAAGGGGACAGGACAACTTCACAGCATCAAAGGGACGATGGACGGGGCCAAGTACCGTCAAATCTTGGGTGAGAACCTCCTTCCCTCAGCCAGGGCATTGAAAATGGGTCGTGGATGGGTATTCCAGCATGACAATGACCCAAAACACACGGCCAAGGCAACAAAGGAGTGGCTCAAGAAGAAGCACATTAAGGTCCTGGAGTGGCCTAGCCAGTCTCCAGACCTTAATCCCATAGAAAATCTGTGGATGGAGCTGAAGGTTCGTGTTGCCAAACGTCAGCCTCGAAACCTTAATGACTTGGAGAAGATCTGCAAAGAGGAGTGGGACAAAATCCCTCCTGAGATGTGTGCAAACCTGGTGGCCAACTACAAGAAACATCTGACCTCTGTGATTGCCAAAATGGGTTTTGCCACCAAGTACCAAGTCATGTTTTGCAGAGGGGTCAAATACTTATTTCCCTCATTAAAATGCAAATCAATTTATAACATTTTTGACCTGCGTTTTAAATATTATTATTTTTTTTATTTTTTTCTTCTGTCTCTCACTGTTCAAATAAACCTCCCATTAAAATTATAGACTGATCATTTCTTTGTCAGTGGGCAAACGTACAAAATCAGCAGGGGATCAAATACTTTTTTCCCTCACAGTAGGTATATTTTCAGAGGTTCACCAACATCCATTAGAATAATCCATTAAGTGACGATATCGTCCAACTCGTGTTAATTTAGACATCGGAGACAGAAATCATGTTTGTTCACTCCCCGTCACGTATAGTTTCAATAAGGTGCTCACTCATCTTTATTAAGGCTGTCAGGCAGTTTGTCTGCAGGCTGTGAGGAAGCCACTTTGACCCGTTTAGTCCATCAGAAACACATGAACACCCTCCCTCTCTCCATCCCTCCCTCTCTATTTCGGTTCATATGGGACACATTCCCCCCACACCTGCCTCCGATATGTTAGTGACAAGATGGGTTGGTGATGTCTGTGTTAGGATTTTAGGGACATTCCATGGTGTGTGTGTGTGATGTGATGTCAGTGATGTCTCCATTAGCTCAGTTACAGTGCTGGGGGGCTCATGGCTGTGACATTATAGCTCCCAGTGGCCTCGTACCAACACCCCAGTTGAGGGGGGGGGGTGTTTCTCCTTTCCTCTCCCTGATTCTAATTTCACACCCCAGCAGACAGCGAGGGTGACGGATGACTCTCCCAGACACCCAAGAGGAGGGGTGCACTGAGAGCGAGACGGGGGGGGGGGAGAGGAGAGAGAGAGGTAAGGGGGGAGGTAGAGAGAGAGGGAGACAGACTAAGGGAGTGATGAAGCCATAGGAGGAGGGGTCTGCGGGGAGTTTTCCAGTATTGGATTGGCTGTTTAAACCATCCGGCGTTAGGGCTGATGCCTGTTGAAATGTGGTTAATGTGTGAGAGAGCAGCAGACAGTGTTAACCCCACGACAACCACGCTCTGGCCACACCTGGAGAACGGAACAGAAAGAACGTTGTAGCAGATCAAGAGAGAACAGAGGGAAGGAGTGTGAGGTTGACGTCACCTCCGGGGTTGGGGCGCGGAGCGGAGCGCGGCAGGTGGGGGCGGCAATATAAACGTATGGTGGAGATGATGAGGCGTTGAACAGGTATCCGGAGTGGAGGGATCCAGAAGGCCAACGTCCCGTTTATTTTCCCGTTCTTTCGTTCTCTCCATCGCTCTGGCCCTGGACAATGTCTGGCGTGTCGTGGCAGAGGAGGCTAGAGGAAGAGGAGGCGCTGCAACATGTTCTGGAGCAGAGGCACTGGAGGAGGGAGTGGAGCACACTCACATGGGATCACAACGCTTTTCCAGTTGAGTCTCGGGTCTTGTCTCCTGTCACTTTGCGTTTGGGGGGTGATGTTTGGATTGAGGTCAGGGTGCTGGTCTCTGCTGGATCATCTTGGTTTGTTACAAGGGACAGGTATGGGATTGTGAGAGCTTATGCTTATTAAGTAACCAATGGTATTGTATAAGTTTACTTTTTGGGCTTGAAAGGAGCACAGACCTCTTGACGTATTGTGTCTGGTACACACCTTATTATGGTGATTCAGTGTATGATATTTGGCACCGTACATGAACACTCTCTCTTGCAGTCAGTCTGTGTTGTCAGCCAGTGGTGGTGATCAGTGCTCTTCATTGTCTTGTCTCTGTGCTGCCAGAGCTCCAGACCACTACTTTAACCCTCCTCTAGCCAGGCCACCCGTCCATTCCACCCCACACAGCGACACCATTAAAAACCGCACAGGAGACCACCTCATCCACCTTAACCTCCACCTCTACTCCAGGCCTCAGTGACCTGTCACCATAGCAGCCCCCAGGGTAACCTCAGAGACCCAGGTCACCTGAGGGGGGAGTGAGTTAGGCTAGGCTGCCAGCTCAGCACTCTCCATCAGTCACAGTGTGTCAGAGGTAGTCCTGTGGCTGGCTGGCCATCACTCACAGTTACAGGGTCTCACAGGCAGTTTAGAAGACACGCGCACACAGGCAGAGACGCTCTCGTTCGCCCACACACATTTGCACACACAAAGATATTCACACACACACACACACACACACATTAATTATATGTAAACTCACACATACAGAGACACTGTTCTCCCACACACACACACACACACACACACACACACACACACACACACACACACACACACACACACAGACTGTGACACACACACACACACAGTGTGGTTAATTAGCGGCTGTGAGCATGAATAACAGTCCCACTGCTGCTCCATTATTCACCGATCACTCGTCTATACTGGTAGGACATCCCCCTTTCCCTCCATTTCCTCCCTCCATCTCCAGCGCTTTGGAGCTTTCATTACCTTTATAAATTATTCAGGGTCTGATTGGAGCCCCTGGGGCCTCTGCCTACCTGCCTGCCTACCTGCCTGCCTGCCTGCCTGCCTGTCTAGCTGCCTGTCTAGCTACCTGCCTAGCTACCTACCTGCCTACCTGCCTGCCTGTCTGTCTAGCTGCCTACCTGTCTGCCTGCCTGCTGTCTGTCGGTCTGCCTGCCTGCCCACCTGTCTGTCTGCCTGCCTGCCCACCTGTCTGCCTGCCCACCTGTCTGCCTGCCCGCCCACCTGTCTGCCTGCCTACCTGTCTGCCTGCCTGCCTACCTGTCTGCCTACTTGTCTGCCTACCTACCTTCCTTCCTTCCTACCTACCTACCTACCTGTCTGCCCACCTACCTGTTACTATTTATTAGCGTGTGGCAGACAGACACGTGGCCAGGCCGTGTTTATTAACAGGCTCTATCTCTCTATTAGGCTCTCTTCCACTATACCTCTCTGATGGATGTGTGTCTTAGACCCCCCCCCCATCACCTAGGAATCCGAGGTGCTCTCTAGGTGGTGTTGCCATTCTAAAGCATGTTTTCTGCAATTCTACACATTTCGCCATGGGGGGATTGATCCGAGGGCCCATGCCTAGTGTAAACTATCTTTCTGATAGTGTGTGGACTAACAACTTTCTTATCCCCCCCCCCCCCCCCACTTCAGGTAGTACTGATGGTTCATACCACCACTCTTCTAACTCTGCTGTCCTCTCTGGGTTGATGTCTAGGCTCACGAGCGCTCGGAGAGTGTGGAGGTCACCTTTGTCACCCAGCTGGTTAGGAAGCTGATGATCGTCATCGCTCGGCCTGCACGCCTGTTAGAATGTCTGGTAAGAGGAACAAGAGAGGGGAAGACGGGGAATAATCTGAAATGTTTCCCAACAATGTTTCCTTCAAATGAATGAACATCTCACACCTAAGTGCTTGCTGGAGGAAGAAAGATGATGAGTGTCTATATCAGGGTTTACAGATGTGAAAAATGACTCGTTTTCAAATCCTTTTCTTATTTTTCTCATAAATTAGTTCCTATTTGCAAGCCATTCATTTTCCTCCCATAGTTAATAAGCCACCTAGCCACTCAGCGAGGGAAATTAAAGAGATTTACTCCTAATTGTGCGGTAACTCAAGCATGACACTGTATTTATTGTCCTCTGTCCTCAGAGACAGATTCAGTGCACATGAAACAGCCTACAACACATATGTTTATTTATCACCCATAAGGGCTTCCTCCTATCCATCCAACCTCCCAGCTCCTTCTCTCCAGCAGGCCCAGAACGCTGCTGTTCTCTGCCCAGCCAGGGAGAGGGGAGTGGGGGTAGAGACGGTGCTTCATCAACCCCCCTCCTCCTCCTCCATGGCTAAGCAGCTGGAACCTTCCCTCCACCTCAGCCCTCTCTCAGGAGATGTGCGGGAGGGAGGGAGACAGAGGAGAGAATAGAGAGCTGCCCCAGTGCTCACGTCTGTATTTTTGACTAATCACATGCAGCCGATGATATGACAACACACAAGATGGGTTTTTACAAATGGACGCGCACACAGCTTGAAGAGAGATGGTGGGGGGTAGACTGGGGTGGTGCGGGGTAAACCTAGGCTCTATGGCTCTATGTCTTTGTCAGAGGACAAGGAAACAAAGGATTGTTCACCTACAGTACAGTGCTGCTGTCCGATGTTGTGGATTATTTTGCATTATAAACTGGGTGGTTCGAGCCCTGAATGCTGATTGGCTGACAGCCGTGGTATATCAGACCATATACCACAGATATGACAAAACATATATTTTTACTGCTCTAATTAAGTTGGTAACCAGTTTATTATAGCAATTAGGCACCTCGGGGGTTTGTGGTATATGTCTAATGTACCACAGCTAAGGGCTGTATCCAGGCACTTTGCGTCGTGTCTAAGAACAGCCTTTAGCCGTGGTATATTGGCCATATACCACACCCCCTCGGGCCTTATTGCTTAAATCCATTTTCATGACCTCTTCTTGATAATGCTCTCAGGATATGTGTTCAGGTTCCCCCTCAGGTTGAGCCAGTGAGCCACAACAAACACACACACATTCTAACCTCTATTGCATTGTTTGATTTTAACACACTCTTCTCTCCCTTCCCCTCACTCTACCCCCTTTCCTTTTCTCTCCCTCCCTCTACCACCTCCTCCTTTTCTCTCACCCTCACTCTACCCCCCCCCCCCCCCCCCCCGGTCTGCAGGAGTTTGACCCAGAGGAGTTCTACCACTTGTTGGAAGCAGCAGAGGGCCATGCCAAGGAGGGCCAGGGCATCAAGTCAGACATCCCACGCTACATCATCAGCCAGCTGGGTCTCACCAGGGATCCCGTGGAGGAGATGGCCCAGCTGAGCAGCTACGACAGTGGGAACCCTGACACACCAGAGACAGACGACGCTGTGGATAGTCGAGGAGCTCCCCCTAAAACCAAGGCCCCACGGGAGGAGGACTTTGAGAACATCAAGCTCATCAGCAACGGGGCCTATGGGTAAGACCGAGCGAGAGAGCGACAGACTGAGAGACAGACAGACTTGGACCTTTATGAGACCGTAGATTGAGACTGAAGCTTCCCCCATGGTTTTGTTACCCCATGACAATGATGATAACGATCACAAAATGTCTAACATTGTTGACACCATTTGATTATTTCTCTCCTCTTCCCCCTTCTCTCTCTGTGACCCTTCTCTCTCTCTCTCGCTCTCCATCTCCATCTCTCTCTCTCCATCTCTCTCCATCTCCATCTCTCTCTCTCCATCTCGCTCTCTCTCTCTCTCTCTCTCCATCTCTCTCTCTCTCTCTCTCTCCATCTCGCTCTCTCTCTCTCTCTCCATCTCCATCTCTCTCTCTCCATCTCTCTCTCTCAATCTCTCAATCTCTCTCTCTTCATCTCGCTCTCTCTCTCTCTCTCAATTCAATTTCAATTTCAATTTAATTTAAGGGCTTTATTGGCATGGGAAACGTGTGTTAACATTGCCAAAGCAAGTGAAGTAGATAGTAAACAAAAGTGAAATAAACAATAAATATTAACAGTAAACATTACACTCAGAAGTTTAAAAAGAATAAAGACATTTCAAATGTCATATTATGTATATATACAGTGTTGTAACAATGTGCAAATAGTTAAAGTACAAATGGGAAAATAAATAAACATAAATATGGGTTGTATTTACAATGTTGTTTGTTCTTCACTGGTTGCCCTTTTCTTGTGGCAACAGGTCACAAATATTGCAGCTGTATACATTTACATTTACGTCATTTAGCAGACGCTCTTATCCAGAGCGACTTACAGTTAGTGAATACATTTTATTTTTTTATTTTTTTATACTGGCCCCCCGTGGGAATCGAACCCACAACCCTGGCGTTGCAAACGCCATGCTCTATCAACTGAGCTACATCCCTGCCGGCCATTCCCTCCCCTACCCTGGACGACACTGGGCCAATTGTGCGCCGCCCATGAGTCTCCCGGTCGCGGCCGGCTGCGACAGAGCCTGGATTCGAACCAGGATCTCTAGTGGGACAGTTAGCACTGCGATGCAGTGCCTTAGACCACTGATGGCACACTGTGGTTTTTCACCCAGTAGATAAGGGAGTTTCTCAAAATTGGGTTTGTTTTCAAATTCTTTGTGGATCGCTGTAATCTGAGGGAAATATGTGTTTCTAATATGGTCATACATTTGGCAGGAGGTTAGGAAGTGCAGCTCAGTTTCCACCTCATTTTGTGGGCAGTGTGCACATAGCCTGTCTTCTCTTGAGAGCCAGGTCTGCCTACGGCGGCCTTTCTCAATATCAAGGCTATGCTCACTGAGTCTGTACATAGTCAAAGCTTTCCTTAAGTTTGGGTCAGTCACAGTGGTCAGGTATTCTGCCACTGTGTACTCTCTGTTTAGGGCCAAATAGCATTCTAGTTTGCTCTGTTTTTTTGTTTGTTCTTTCCAATGTGTCAAGTAATTCTCTTTTTGTTTTCTCATGATTTGGTTGGGTCTAATTGTGTTGTTGTTGTTGTTGTTGTTGTTGTTGTTGTTGTCCTGGGGCTGTGTGGGGTCTGTTTGTGTTTGTGAACAGAGCCCCAGGACAAGCTTACTTAGGGGACTCTTCTCCAAGTTCATCTCTTTGTAGGTGATGGCTTTGTTATGGAAGGTTTGGGAATCGCTTCCTTTTAAGTGGTTATAGAATTTAACGGCTCTTTTCTGGATTTTGATAATTAGCGGGTATTGGCCTAATTCTGCTCTGCATGCATTATTTGGTGTTTTACGTTGTACACGGAGGATGTTTTTGCAGAATTCTGCATGCAGAGTCTCAATTTGGTGTTTGTCCCATTTTGTGAATTCTTGGTTGGTGAGCGGACCCCAGACCTCAGAACCATTAAGGGCAATGGGTTCTATAACTGATTCAAGTATTTTTAGCCAGATCCTAATTGGTATGTCAAATTTTATGTTCCTTTTGATGGCATAGAAGGCCCTTCTTGCCTTGTCTCTCAGATCGTTCACAGCTTTGTGGAAGTTACCTGTGGCGCTGATGTTTAGGCCGAGGTATGTATAGTTTTTTGTGTGCTCTAGGGCAACGGTTGTCTAGATGGAATTTGTATTTGTGGTCCTGGCAACTGGACCTTTTTTGGAACACCATTATTTTTGTCTTACTGAGATTTACTGTCAGGGCCCAGGTATGACAGAATCTGTGCAGAAGATCTAGGTGCTGCTGTAGGCCCTCCTTGGTTGGTGACAGAAGCACCAGATCATCAGCAAACAGAAGACATTTGACTTCATATTCTAGTAGGGTGAGGCCGGGTGCTGCAGACTGTTCTAGTGCCCTCGCCAATTCGTTGATATATATGTTGAAGAGGGTGGGGCTTAAAACTGCATCCCTGTCTCACCCCACGGCCCCTGTGGAAAGAAATGTGTGTGTTTTTTGCCAATTTTAACCGCACACTTGTTGTTTGTGTACATGGATTTTATAATGTCGTATGTTTTTCCCCCAACCCCACTTTCCATCAATTTGTATAGCAGACCCTCATGCCAAATTGAGTCAAAAGCTTTTTTGAAATCAACAAAGCATGAGAAGACTTTGCCTTTGTTTTGGTTTGTTTGTTTGTCAATTAGGGTGTGCAGGGTGAATACGTGGTCTGTCGTACGGTAATTTGGTAAAAAGCCAATTTGACATTTGCTCAGTACATTGTTTTCACTGAGGAAATGAACTAGTCTGCTGTTAATGATAATGCAGAGGATTTTCCCAAGGTTGCTGTTGACGCATATCCCACGGTAGTTATTGGGTTCAAATTTGTCTCCACTTTTGTGGATTGGGGTGATCAGTCCTTGGTTCCAAATATTGGGGAAGATGCCAGAGCTAAGGATGATGTTAAAGAGTTTAAGTATAGCTAATTGAAATTTGTGGTCTGTATATTTTATCATTTCATTGACGATACCATCAACACCACAGGACTTTTTGGGTTGGAGGGTTTGTATTTTGTCCTGTAGTTCATTCAATGTAATTGGAGAATCCAGTGGGTTCTGGTAGTCTTTAATAGTTGATTCTAAGATTTGCATTTGATCATGTATATTTTTTTGCTGTTTGTTCTCTGTTATAGGGCCAAAAAGATTGGAGAAGTGGTTTACCCATACATCTCCGTTTTGGATAGATAGCTCTTCGTGTTGTTGTTTGTTTAGTGTTTTCCAATTTTCCCAGAAGTGGTTAGAGTCTATGGATTCTTCAATTACATTGAGCTGATTTCTGACATGCTGTTCCTTCTTTTCCGTAGTGTATTTCTGTATTGTTTTAGTGATTCACCATAGTGAAGGCGTAGGCTCAGGTTTTCTGGGTCTCAATGTTTTTGGTTGGATAGGTTTCTCAATTTCTTTCTTAGGTTTTTGCATTCTTCATCAAACCATTTATCACTGTTATTACTTTTCTTTGGTTTTCTGTTAGAGATTTTTAGATTTGATAGGGAAGCTGAGAGGTCAAATATACTGTTTAGGTTTTCTACTGCCAAGTGTACACCTTCACTATTACAGTGGAACGTTTTGTCCAGGAAGTTGTCTAGAATGGATAGAATTTGTTGTTTCCTAATTGTTTTTTGGTAGGTTTCAACACTACTTTCCTTCCATCTATAGCATTTCTTAATATTATTCAGTTCCTTTGGCTTTGATGCCTCATGATTGAGTATTGCTCTGTTCAAGTAGACTGTGATTTTGCTGTGGTCTGATAGGGGTGTCAGTGGGCTGACTGTGAACGCTCTGAGAGACTCTGGGTTGAGGTCAGTGATAAAGTAGTCTACAGTACTACTGCCAAGAGATGAGCTATAGGTGTACCTACCATAGGAGTCCCCTCGAAGCCTACCATTGACTATGTACATACCCAGTGTGCGACAGAGCTGCAGTAGTCGTGACCCGTTTTTGTTGGTTATGTTGTCGTAGTTGTGCCTAGGGGGGCATATGGGGGAGGGAATGCTGTCACCTCCAGGTAGGTGTTTGTCCCCCTGTGTGCTGAGGGTGTCAGGTTCTTGTCCAGTTCTGGCATTTAGGTCGCCACAGACTAGTACATGTCCCTGGGTCTGGAAATGATTGATTTCCCCCTCCAGGATGGAGAAACTGTCTTCATTAAAGTATGGGGATTCTAGTGGGGGGATATAGGTAGCACACAGGAGGACATTTTTCTCAGTTGAGATAAGTTCCTTTTGAATTTCTAACCAAATGTAAAATGTTCCTGTTTTGATTAATTTAATAGAGTGAGTTAGGTCTGCTCTATACCAAATTAGCATACCCCCTGAGTCCCTTCCCTGTTTCACACCTGGTAGTTTGGTGGATGGGACTACCAGCTCTCTGTAACCTAGAGGGCAACCAGTGGGTCCGTCTCCTCTATACCCATGTTTCTTGTAGGATGACAATGTCTGTATTTCCGATTTCTTTGGTGAAGTCCAGATTCTGCTCTTTAGGCCAAAGGCAGATGACCTTAGGCCTTGGATATTCCAGGATGAAATAGGTGAAGCGAGGTGGGTGTCCATAAGGGGGCTAATGTTGTGTGTCTGGTGTGTGGTGGGGCAGATACTCTCTCTATCTAGAGAGATAGATGACAGAGAGGTAGAGAGAGCGCGCTCTCTCTCTCTCTCTCTTCTCTCTTCTCTCAATCTTTCTTTCTATCTCGCTGAGAGAGCGAAGAAAGGCGTGACTCTGCGAATAAGCTGCGCGTCTCGCGCTCGCTCGTCGCGTGTCTCGTCGATCGCTCTCTCTCTCTTCTGCTGATCACGCTCTGCGCACGCGCGCTCGTCGTCTATTGCTCGCTCGTGCGCGCGCGCGCGCCAGGCCACGTATGCGCGCGCGCGCGCGCGCGCACTGGCCGCGCGACGCCGCGCGCGACCCCGAGAGAGCTGAGCGCGGGACGACGAGGAGCAACGCCCGCAGAGAGGCAGCGCGAGAGCGCGCGCCGCACAGAGCATGTAGAGAGGCTGAGTAAAGAGAGAGACGAGGGTCCTGGACGAGGGCCAATATGACGAGACCGAGACGAGGAGAGAGGGAGAGTCAGCCGCACGAGACAAGAGCCCACTATAACGAGAGAGTCTCCCGGTAAGCTCACGGAGAGGAGCAGCGAGAGTAGAGCAGATGCAGAGACCGGTCCTAGAGAGAGATGGGGATGGAGAGAGTGGCAGGAGACCGAGCGCAGTAGAAGGAGCCAAGAGAGCGAGACGCGAGAGAGACGAGCAGACCTCTCGCCTCTATTCTCTTCTTACTTCGCTCTCTCACTGTCTCTCCAGTGCTGGGTTTCTTTGGCTGCGACACCAAGGTTCTAGACTAGTCAGCGTGTTTGCCTTATTGAACGAGACTCAACCAAGCACAGAACTCCTGCACTCCTGAGATATCGGCAGGAAACCAGATCCATGCAGGTCATTTAGTAGAGGAGAGACCATCCTTGCACTTTCGCTGAGAACCACTTTTGGTCTCAACTGTTCTGCTCCTGGAGACACGCCTTGCCTTACCTCTGTTTATGGTGCTGAGTATGGCTAGAAGGATGATGCTGATTATACACACAAGTTCACAAAATCAGGGGTTAGCAACCCTGCTCTCTTGTTGTAATCGATTCAAGCCTACATCAACGCCGGGTCCTGACTGAGCACGCTAATTAGTAGCAATCGGGAAGGGGCCCATCCTCTTCATTACGTATGTTATACACACCACTGACACAGTTAGGTCTCAAACTCACCATCGTTGTGAAAATCGGCGGTGCTATATCATGACCTGTCGTTGCTTGTACCCACGATGGGTGGTCGACCCTGGAATGTCGTTGCCTTTTACCCCGATGGGGTGGTGCACTGACTGCTCTCTCTGCCTCTCTACACCCGACTGGGTGGTGACCCGACTGTCGGGCATCTTACACCCTGAAGGTGGCTGACTGGACTGTCGTGCATCTACTCCCCGACCGGGTTGGTGACCTGGGGACTGTCAGACTTGTTTACCCCGACTGGGTCGGTGACTCTGACGTCGTTTGCCTTTACCTGACTGGGTGGTGACGACGGTTGTTCGCCCTTCTACCCGACCTGGGTGGTCGCACCTGACTGTCGTTGCATCTACTCCGACTGGGTGGTGACTGACTGTCGTTGCCTTTACCCCGACTGGGTGGTGACTGACTGTCGTTGCCTTTACCCGACTGCGGTCGGTGATGACTTGTCGTGCCTTTACCTCGATGGGTGGTGACTGACTGTCACGTCATGGCCTTATACTCCCCGGACTGGGTGGGTGACTCTGACTGATCGTTGCCCTCTACTCCGAACTGGCGGTTGGTGACCTGCTGTCGTTGCCTTTACCCCGACTGGGTGGCACGACTTACTGTCGTTTGCCTTTACCTGAAGGCGGTGGTTGACCACCTGGCAACGGTCGATTGCCTCTTACTCCGACTGCCCCCCGGTAAGAGTTGAAACTTGAATGTCGTTGCTCTAATCACGACTGGTGGTGCACTGACTGTCGTTGCCTTTACCCCGACTGGGTGGTGACTGACTGTCGTTCGACTTTACCTGATGGGTGGGTGAATGGAGGCTGTTTAGGTACTTGACTTGCCTCTACACCATGACTAGGATGTGGACCTGGGGTGTATAATGACTGCACTCTTTTTTCTACAAGGACTAGTCTGGTTACTGGAGTGTATTCTGGGTGGGGTGTTTATACTGACTTGCCTCTACCCCATGACTAGGACTCCCCTGTGACTGGGGGTGCGTGTATTATCTGACTGCCTCTACACTGATCCTAGGATGGTTGACTGGAGGGTGTCTTACTGAATGACTTATTGACACTGACTAGGTACGTGTATCTTGGCCCCGCGGTGTATACCCACTGACTGACTCTTTCTACACGTGCTTTAGGATGTGACCTCCGCGCGTCGGGTATATGACTCGCTCTTACATTGTGAAATAGCGTATTCGCTGTTGACTGCGGGCTGTATATGACATCCGCATCCCTACACCTGGACCTAGCATTGTGACCATTGGGGGTGTTATACGACTGCCTCATCACTGACCTAGGATTGTGACCTGGGGGTCTGTTATACTGCCTGCCTTTCTTTCAGCCACGAATGGATGTGACCTGTGAATGGGGCCCTTGGGTTTTTCGTACTGTACTGAGCCTTACTACCACCCACGACACTTAGGCAGGTGATGGTTGTGGTTGTATACTGCATCCTGATCCTACACCGGACTAGGACTCCTTCCTGTGACTGGGGTGTATTACTGACTGCTCTACCATGAATCAGGACCCCCATCTTCCTGTGACTGGGGCCCCCCGGCGTGTATACTGACCCTGCCTTCTATAATGTATCTAGGATGTTGTGACTGGGCGGGTATTCATGACTGCCTTTATCCTAAACTGGCACTGGACCCCCTACGGATGGACTGGGGGTGTATTACTGACCCGCCCTCCTACACTGACTAGGATGTGACTGGGGGTTTACTGCACTGCCTCTACCCTGACTAGGATGTTTGACGTTGGGGGTTGTTATTCCACTGACTGCTCTGACACTGAATAGGATGTGGACCTGTCGGTTTCCTGCGCTGCCTATCTTATGTTGCACTGTTTTTCATTCTCACACACTGACTCGGACCTGTGCACTGGCCGGGTGTATACTGGCACTGCCTTACCCTACTAGGCGTGTGAATGGGGGTGTATACTGACTGCCTCTACACTGACTAGGAAGTGACTGGGGGTGGTATACTGACTGCCTCTACACTGACTAGGATGTGACTGGGGGGTGTATACTGACTGCCTCTACACTGACTAGGATGTGACTGGGGGGTGTTATATGACTGCCCTCTACACTGACTAGGATGTGACTGGGGGGTGTATACTGACTGCCTCTACACTGACTAGGATGTGACTGGGGGTTGTATACTGGACTGCCTCTACACTGACTAGGATGTGACTGGGGGTGTATACTGACTGCCTCTACACTGACTAGGATGTGACTGGGGGGTGTATACTGGACTGCCTCTACACTGACTAGGATGTGACTGGGGGTGTTTTAATTACTGACTGCCTCTACACTGACTAGGATGTGACTGGGGGTGTATACTGACTGCCTCTACACTGACTAGGATGTGACTGGGGGTGTATACTGACTGCCTCTACACTGACTAGGATGTGGACTGGGGTGTATACTGACTGCCTCTACACTGACTAGGATGTGACTGGGGGTGTATACTGACTGCCTCTACACTGACTAGGATGTGACTGGGGGTGTATACTGACTGCCTCTACACTGACTAGGATGTGACTGGGGGTGTATACTGACTGCCTCTACACTGACTAGGATGTGACTGGGGGTGTATACTGACTGCCTCTACACTGACTAGGATGTGACTGGAGGTGTATACTGACTGCCTCTACACTGACTAGGATGTGACTGGGGGTGTATACTGACTGCCTCTACCCTCCCCAGGTGGTGACTGTGCCACCCTGCTGAAGAGCATCGGAGCTCTGCCCGTGGACATGGCACGCATGTACTTCGCTGAGACTGTGCTGGCACTGGAGTACCTCCACAACTATGGCATTGTACACAGAGACCTCAAACCTGACAAGTAAGACACACACACACACACACACACTGTCCTCTAGTCTAGAAAGCTTTAACTGCCATATGACTTGCCATTGATCATTAATACTTCTCATGGGCTTTAATAATTCACAATCTATATGCTTTATTCACTATCTCATGATGCTAACATCATATCTCTCTCCCCCCTTCCTGCAGTCTTCTGATCACGTCAATGGGCCACATCAAGCTGACAGACTTTGGGCTGTCTAAGATCGGTCTGATGAGCCTCACCACCAACCTGTATGAAGGACACATAGAGAAAGATACCAGGGAGTTCCTGGATAAACAGGTACAGAGAGAGAGAGAGAGAGAGAGAGAGAGACCTCTGGCCAGGGGCAGACTGGGACAAAAAATCATCCAAGGCATTTCTAACACACCAGCCCATTTTTTTCCACATCGGCCCATTTTCTTTCCTGGAGGCCCCCACATGGGCCAATTTTTTATTTGAGGCACCCATTATTTGCCAGATAATTATCATTTTGCACAAAAAATAAATAAAAATTTGACAGTCCCACTAGGCTTAAAATGGACCAGCCCATCTAGCATTTGCCCTGAAATGCCAGATGACCAGTCCGCCCCTGCCTCTAGCGCCCAACACATAACACCCTAACTCTGTAACTGGTCACTCACTCTTCCCTTATGTATAACAGTGTCTATGACCGAAGTGTATGACAATGTGAACAGGTATGAGACAAACGGACTAAGGGAAAATGCAACGTTGTACTGTATGTTGGTGGGCATTTCTCTATTTCTCCCTGCCTATACTTGACCCTTCCCCTCTGTGTGTGTATGACCAGGTGTGTGGTACCCCAGAGTACATAGCCCCAGAGGTGATCCTGAGACAGGGCTACGGGAAGCCAGTGGACTGGTGGGCCATGGGGGTCATCCTGTATGAGTTCCTGGTGGGCTGTGCCCCTTTCTTTGGAGACACGCCTGAGGAGCTCTTTGGACAGGTCATCAGTGGTGAGTACCACGGATAACGGACACACATTAACACAGGGAGTCTGAATTGTTAACAGAGGGAAAAGGGAGAGGGAGAGAGAGAAATGTAAGAAAAAGTATCGCTTTGTTTTACAAACGTTTGTGGAAAAATCCATCTGACCACAGTGTCTGCTCCATGTCTCTATTTGTAGATGAGATCATATGGCCAGAGGAGGAGGAGGCTCTTCCTAACGATGCCCAGGACCTCATCTCTAAACTCCTTAGACAGAACCCTCTGGAGAGGCTAGGCACAGGTGATGGTTTGGAAACATGTTATTTGACAAACATAACTCATAGAAACAAATAGAGGACCTGCACGTCTCACATTACACAGTTTCAAATTGTCATTTGCTCTTTATCGGTCTGTTTGTGTTGTAGGCAGTGGTCTCCATCTCATTCCTTCTCTCTGTGTTGTAGGCAGTGGTCTCCATCTCATTCCTTCTCTCTGTGTTGTAGGCAGTGGTCTCCATCTCATTCCTTCTCTCTGTGTTGTAGGCAGTGGTCTCCATCTCATTCCTTCTCTCTGTGTTGTAGGCAGTGGTCTCCATCTCATTCCTTCTCTCTGTGTTGTAGGCAGTGGTCTCCATCTCATTCCTTCTCTCTGTGTTGTAGGCAGTGGTCTCCATCTCATTCCTTCTCTCTGTGTTGTAGGCAGTGGTCTCCATCTCATTCCTTCTCTCTGTGTTGTGTAGGCAGTGGTCTCCATCTCATTCCTTCTCTCTGTGTTGTGTAGGCAGTGGTCTCCATCTCATTCCTTCTCTCTGTGTTGTAGGCAGTGCATTTGAGGTGAAACAGCACCGGTTCTTCTATAACCTGGACTGGAACACTCTGCTGAGACAGAAGGCAGAGTTCATCCCTCAGCTAGAATCAGAGGACGACACCAGCTACTTTGACAGTAAGTCACACCTGCTGTACCTCCAGTAACACCCTGAGCCTATTCTACTATTTCTTTACTCAAACAACATTGGAACAATAGAATACAACTCCTGAAAATGAGTTAGTGGACAGTCCAGTCCAGTAGTCTTGTGTAACGCTACTCTCTCTCTCTCTCTCTCTCTCTCCAGCCCGTTCAGACAGGTACCACCACATGGACTCTGAAGACGAAGACGACGCCAACGATGACGAACACGTAGAGATACGCCAGTTCTCCTCCTGCTCGCCCCGCTTCAGCAAGGTAAACAACACACACACACACACACAGAGCACCCCCTTGCTGAAAATGTCATCACTTCATGTACAACATCATTTTCCATTTTTAAAAAAAATAATAAAATCAAACTGTGTGTGTAGGTGTACAGCAGTATGGAGCGTCTGTCCCTCCATGAGGAGAAGAGGAACCCCCCGCCCACCAAGCGGAGCCTTAGTGAGGAAGGGGGAGAACGCATCGACAGCCTCAGTAGTCTGAAGTCCAGAGACCGTGCCTGGCTGGTGGGGTCACCTGAGATGTGAGTATAGGGGGGTTCTTCTGAGGACACCAAAGCCTCATTTACTGATAGTCTGTACTCATTATTTAAGTCTTCCACTAAATGAGCGTTCGGTCTCTTCCATCACCAACAACAGAACTGTTGCCTTAGAGATTTTTAATCGCTAGCAATTTACCTGGCTACGGTCGTTGACAAACATCATATATTCTGTATGTGCTGTATGGTAACCTCCCTCCCTGTGTGTCTCCCTCCCTCAGCCTGCGTAAGCGTCTGTCTGTCTCAGAGTCGTCCCACACCGAGAGCGACTCCAGCCCTCCCCTGACAGTGCGAAGACGCTGCTGCTCCGCCATCATCGAGATGCCGCGCTTCGCCATCTCCTCAGAGGAGGAAGCAGGGGTGGCCCCCAGCCATAAGAGCCCCAGCCTTCTCAGCCAGACCCCCGGTGGGGTCAGGGGCCCCCGCAGCGAGGACCTGCCCCTCTCCATCCCTGAGCTCCCTGTGGAGAGAGAGCTGAAACTGGACGAGTCCCCAACAACACCAGACTCTACAGCCAGCCAGCTCAGCAAAGCCACACTCACACGTCAGTACAGTGCAATATAATATAAAACAACTTTATTGTCCATATGTTACAGCAAACAACAGAAACTGGCAAAACATATACTATATATGGATATACTGTGTGTCTGCTTTGATTCACATAGCCCTCTGGTTCCATAGAGGTGGAGGGGCTGTCCGTCCTGTGTTTTCTCTTGACGCGTTGCGGTGCAGAATCAGGTTGCTGACCTACTCCCAACAGGTTCTCCAGACCCTGAAGGGCAGGTTACTGCCTATAGCTGTTAACCGTGTGGTCGGTGTATCAAACTAAGCAGCTCATTCGCGAAACCCTGAATATTGTATTGAATGCAATTTGAAGAGATTAGTATGAAAATGTATGCACTAACTGTAAGTCGCTCTGGATAAGAGCGTCTGCTAAATGACAAATGTAAAATGTAAATGTAAATTCCATTCACATTACAAAATGTCTTACAGTATTTACCTGTTACTGGATTCCCTGTCTTTACCTCTGACTTTACCTCTGACTTTACCTCTGTCTTTACCTCTGTCTTTACCTCTGACTTTATCTCTGACTTTATCTCTGACTTTACCTCTGTCTTTACCTCTGACTTTACCTCTGTCTTTACCTCTGACTTTACCTCTGACTTTACCTCTGACTTTACCTCTGACTTTACCTCTGACTTTACCTCTGACTTTACCTCTGACTTTACCTCTGTCTTTACCTCTGTCTTTACCTCTGACTTTACCTCTGTCTTTACCTCTGTCTTTACCTCTGTCTTTACCTCTGTCTTTACCTCTGACTTTACCTCTGACTTTACCTCTGACTTTACCTCTGACTTTACCTCTGACTTTACCTCTGTCTTTACCTCTGTCTTTACCTCTGTCTTTACCTCTGACTTTATCTCTGACTTTATCTCTGACTTTACCTCTGACTTTACCTCTGTCTTAACCTCTGTCTTTACCTCTGTCTTTACCTCTGTCTTTACCTCTGTCTTTACCTCTGTCTTTACCTCTGACTTTACCTCTGACTTTACCTCTGACTTTACCTCTGACTTTACCTCTGACTTTCTCTGACTTTACCTCTGACTTTATCTCTGACTTTACCTCTGTCTCTTCTCTATCTCTCTCTCTCCATAGCGGGCAGTTCAGGAGATGTGTGGGAGCGTGGTTCAGGGGCAGACAGCTCTCCCTCTACCCCTAAGGCCATCAGTGACCTGGCAGCTAGGAGGGCCCGCCACAGACTGTTGTCTGGAGACACAGACAAACACGCCCAGTCCAGACCCCTCAACAAGGTCATCAAGTCAGCCTCCGCTACCACCCTCTCACTCATGATTCCTGCAGGTATGGCTGAGTGTTTTAAGAGCGAGGAATGTGTGATTTGTGCGCTTCTGTCTTTGTGTATTGATATGTGTTGTGTGTCTGTCTGTTAATGTATGTGTGTCTGTCTGTCTGTGTCTGTCTGTGTCTGTTTGTGTTTGTCTGTGTGTTAGTCTGTCTGTCTCTTTTAGTGTCTGTCTGTGTATGTCTGTCAGTGTCTCTGTCTGTCTGTCTGTCCTGCTCTGTGTTCTGTCTGTCGTCTGTGACTGTATGTAGTGTCTGGTTTTCTCTTCTGTCTTTTAGCTAACCTCTGTTGTTTTAGACTGTGTGAATGTGAAAACATCATTTATGTGCATTTATACGGACGGTCTCCCATAAACAATCTCTTCGTCCTTCTTTTCAGCCTTAGTGTTTGTCTCCGCTCGTTTCGTCAATCCTCGTCAGATCTTTAGGTCTCCGCGATGTTGAGACCTGTCCGTCCGTTGTCCAGCTCATCTCCTGTCATCTATCACAATGTGGCAAGAGTCGGCTTTCTTCTCTCTTTAGCCTCGACATGGGGCTTTTAGAACTCTCGGAATGTTGAATCATGCGTGTAGGTGCTTATACGATGTGTCCTATAAAAAATTTAGCTCTCCATCTTAGATCACAGTGCTCTCCCATTCGCAGATTGATGCCCATGTAACCACTTTCTGTCAATTCCCCGTCCAGACTCTCCCCCAGTGACTTCCCCAGCCGTGGCCAACATCAAACCGCTCTCATCCAAAGGTGGCAGAAGTACGGCTTCACCCTCGAGCCATCAGGTGTACATGGGAACACAGACATCTCACAGTGCATCATAGGTCTGGGTGAGGTAGGTGCTTGCTTTATGACTCAATAAAAGGCATTCACTCAGAATCCTGTCGCTTCATCAAGAGATTGAATTGTCACCAGTGAAATGATTTGATGTGTAATTTCGCCCTCCTCTCTCTCTCCCCATCTCTATCTCTCTACTCTCACCTCTCTCCGGTCATCTTTTAGCGCCGCATCGCCGCGTCGCGATTCTCACCGCCTCCAGCGAGCATCTCCGGCAGCTCGCACCCGCCGTCATTCGCTCGCGCGCGCCGGGCAGCGCGCGCGCTCGCTCCATAGTCGCGCGCGCCTTCAATGTCTCTCCGGCGCTCTCTTTCATTTAGCGCTCTCTCCTGGCATCGGTCCGCGCCGTCATCGCTCGCCGCTCCGTGCACGGGCGCCGGCATCGCGCTAGCGCATGGCAGACGGGCTCGCGCTTAGCGCTCTCCTACCTCCGGGCAGCAGATCCGGGATCGCTTCCTTTATCTCTCTCTCTCCTTTCATCTATCTCCTTTAAACTATATCTCTCCTTTCTCTCTCTCTCTCTCCTTTCATCTCTCTCTCCTTTCATCTCTCTCTCTCCTTTCATCTCTCTCTCTCTCTCCTTTCATATATCTCCTTTCATCTCTCTCTCTCTCCTTTCATCTCTATCTCTCTCCTTTCATCTCTCACTCCTTTCATCTCTCTCTCCTTTCATCTCTCCATCTCTCTCTCCTTCCATCTCTCTTTCTCTCTCCTTCCATCTCTCTCTCTCTCTCCACCTGTCTCTGTCAGCATGTAGAGGAGGGTGGTCCAGCCCATGATGCGGGGCTGAGAGAAGGAGACCTCATCACTCATGTGAATGGAGAGGCTGTCCACGGCCTGGTCCACACTGAGGTGGTGGAGCTCATTCTCAAGGTACACACGCACACACGCACACACACACACACACACGCACACACACGCACACACACACGCACACACACACACACACACATACACACACACACACACACACACACACACACACACACACACACACACACACACACACACATTAGCTCCTGTCTTACGCGTGTTGTGTGTTACCCTCAGAGCGGTGGTAAGGTGTCCATCTCTGCCACGTCCTTTGAGAACACTTCCATCAAGGTGGGCCCCGCCCGCAAGACCGGCTCCAAATCCAAGATGGCGCGTCGCAACAAGAAGACCAAGACCAAAGATAGCAGCCAGGAAAGGTTAGTCTCTTATCTGAACGATCTCACACACTTACCTTTCCTCTCTGAAGTCATGATACATTGAACATAATGGCTGATGTTTGTATTTTCAACTCTTTCTACTGTGTGTGTGTGTGTGTGTGTGTGTGTGTGTGTGTGTGTGTGTGTGTGTGTGTTTCCAGCAGTAGTAAGAAGAGGAACTCTCTGTTCAGGAAGATCACTAAGCAGGCGTCTCTTCTCCACACCAGCCGTAGCCTCTCCTCTCTAACCCGCTCTCTGTCCTCTGGAGAGAGTGGACCTGGGTCCCCCACTCACAACCTGTCCCCTAGGTCACCTACACAAGGTTACCGGTCCACACCTGACTCTGCACACTCTGGTAAGACCTACACACACAGTGGGCTCACACACATCCCTCAAACACACCGCTCACCTAATGGACAGTACGACATGGCCTAATGTTGGGAAAAGGTCATAAAAGATGGTGGTTATGTGTGCATAACATTTCATGAATTTGGATGAAACCCTGAATGTCTGTGTGTTTCTGTGTGTGTCGTGTCGTGTTTTCTCAGTAGGGGGTAACTCGTCTCAGAGCAGCTCTCCCAGCTCCAGTGTTCCTAACTCCCCAGCCAGCTCCGGTCACATCAGGCCCAGCTCTCTCCACGGCCTGGCCCCCAAGCTCCAGCGGCAGTACCGCTCCCCCCGCCGCAAGTCAGCCGGCAACATCCCCCTATCCCCCCTGGCCCGCACCCCCTCCCCAACCCCACAGAGCACCTCCCCCCAGCGCTCTCCCTCCCCCCTGTCCAGCCACGGGCTGGGCTCGACCTCTATGGGCCAGACCTTTCCCGTCAAGCTCCACTCCTCCCCACCTCTGGTCAGGCAGATCTCCAGGCCCAAGAGCGCTGAACACCCCCGCTCCCCACTCCTCAAGCGGGTCCAGTCTGCTGAGAAGCTAGCCTCCTCCCTCTCCTCCTCCTCGTCCTCCCCATCTCCATCAGGCGGCGGAGGTGACAAGAAGTTGCCTGTAACGGTGACAGGGCGTAAACACAGCCTGGACATCTCCCACGCTGAGTTTAAGAAGGAGATGCTTCAGAGAGACCCCAGTCTGCAGAGTCTCCAGGAGTCAGCTGGGGAGAGAGAGAGTCTGCTGCTGGGGCCTGGGATAGGGGGCCGTGGGGGTCCCGTGGAGAAGGGCAGCATGCAAAAACCCTCCTCCTCCAGCAGGAAGCTAGGGCGTCAGGAGGGGGACGGGGGGTCAACGGCCGGGTCCCTGGGGCTTGCCCCCGGGAAGAGCAAACTGAAGGACAAGCTGTCAGCCATCAGACAGGACCGGGCTGAGAGGAGGGAGTCACTACAGAAGCAGGATGCTATCCATGAGGTAGACTCATCAGAGGACGAGACAGACGAGGGGTCCGAGGACAGTCAGGACGGGCGTGGCAGGAACACCTGCACCTTCACCCCTCCACTGCTCCGCCCCACCTCCGTCATGCCCACCGCCCCCCGCACAGGACCCGGGGGCACCCTCCCCTCCCTCTGTCTGTCCCCCTCCTCCACCCTGCTGCCCAGCAGAGCCACCATACCCTCCACACTCCACGAACACAAGCCCACTCAGAGTGTTCCTTCGCTGGGAGGGAAAGACGGCGGCTCAGCCTCCTTGGATGACTGTAGGCGGAGAGATGGGAAGACTCCAGACCCCAGCAGCAAGTTCACCCAGAGCCCCCTGTCCAGCACCTTCGCAACCCCCGGCAGTGCTTTCATCTCCGTCAGTAAGGACACCTTCCTGAAGCCTGCTGCTCCATCTCCACATCAGGACTGGAGGAGCCCCAAGCTGTCTGAGCCCAGGGGGAAGAGCAGTAGTCCTGGGTTATGGAGTGAGGAGAGAGACTCTGGCCTGGAGGCCCCCAGATCCAGCCCCACTGGGTCCATAGACGGTAGAGACATAGTCCCCACACCCATCTCCTCCCCAGGCATCACCAAGGAGAAGAAGGAGGCTGACAACAGGAGACATGCTGCTGCTGCTGCCGCTGCTGCATCCTACGCCACCCCAGACTACGCCACCCCCAGCCCCCCAGCCTCCCCAGCCCCAGTGTCAAGGTCAGATAGCGGGGTGGACAAGATGGTGTCACAGCTAGCCAACGTGGCTATGAGCGTCCTGGGGCCCGTCAAACTCACCATCCCTGGGGCCAAGGAGGCCTTTGAGAGAGCCAAGGACCAGAATCAGAGACCCTCTGACCCCCCTCACCCCAAGGCCACACCTGACTCCCCCCTCACCGCCACCACCACTCCCCTCTCCCCCTCCCCCTTCAGACACCCTGCCCCTCAGCCCCCGCCCCGCCTGTCCTCCCAGTCTCCTCCCAGGCAGCCCTCCAAAACTGAGCCAGCCCCCCCTCCCCTTCCACAGAGGAGGCCCTCCCCTCCTAAAGACTGTACCCTGGCCCAGGGCCCCCAGCACCCCATGGAGATGCCGGTGGTGGTGTTACGAGGCAGCAGGGAGACTTCAGCCATTACAGGTGTTACTGCACCGAGGAAGGGGCCCACCACCACACCCACCCAGTCCCCTACTGCGGCCTCAGAGCAGCGCAATAGGCCAGACCCCCCGGCCCCACAGAGACCCAGCCCAGCCTCTGCAGCCTCCACCCCGCTGGACCAAACCAGCAGCAAGAAAACGTAGCAGATAATACACCCATGACAATACAGACTGCTTGATGGAGATTTTAATCTTTATCCACAGACAACTGCATGTTTGGAAGAAAACAACAACAACATATTCAAAACTCTTTGCAACTCACTAATCATTATCTGAGAGCGTAGCCATCTGATAGATAGAAAGAGAGATGGGAAGAGAGGGAGATGATAGTTCGGGGCCCTGACTATATGTTCTTATAGCCCAGAGGCATCCAGACTGGCTGTGGATCTCTTGTTGTTCTTATACCCTGGTTTTTTTCTTCACATTGATTCATGTTCCTGTGAAGTCAGTCTGCGTTTGTTTCTCTCTTCAAAGAAACATGGGGGCTAGAAATAAACGGTGTGAGTTCACTGATCCACACGCACTGAGGGAAGGAATAACAAACGCACACAAACACTCTAATGGTATTTTCTTAGTATACTGCCTCGTTAGCGTTCACCTTGTAGTTCCAGTAGTCTGACGTGTGACTTTTAGCTAGCCAATAGTTCAGGTTGTGCCTTCTAAACGATGCAGCCACCACCACCACTCCACCCCGCCTGCATGTGTCTCCAGCCGTCCGTGACTGAAGAGGATGTATCTCAGCAATAAAAGTAGCGTATGCTTAGCAATCAGTGTAAATACATTACAGTCTGTTAATGAAACAATCTGCATCGTCCACGTTTAACTCACTCGGCAGCCTAAGGCAAATTACATTGTGTGTTATTATTCCCTCATGGTCTAACGCTGCACTCTGTCTCTTTAACAGTTTAATACTGCAGACTGGCTAGAACACCCTCTAGTCCCTATATAAAACTCTATTAATGTTGTGGCTGTCAGAATGGCTATTCAAGCAGTGCTTCTTTTGTATAGCATAGCGTTCCATGAGAATCTCTTTCACTATCCGCTCCACTGGCCCTTCCATGGCTACCTGGACCTGTCAGTGTACCTAGCATATAGAGCATAACCCTTCCATGGCTACCTGGACCTGTCAGTGTACCTAGCATATAGAGCTCTGTGTGGCTGTGAGTATGTGTTGTGGTAGCTAGGATACTAGCCTAGCCGTTCACCTTGTAACTGCATGATAGCCTCACCATATCTAGGTCCCTATGTCAGGGGACATGTTTCTAATGATGACATAATACTGTGTGGTCCATAGAACTGCTTTACATTGGGATGGACTATAGGTGAGGTGGGAAGGAAAGGATGGTCAGTGATCTAGACAACTGATCAATCTGGTCCTAGTCTGGTCAACAGTGTTGAGATGACAAGAGTCAAGTAGTTAAGATGATGTAGATCTATTTAGAGATTTGGGTTTATGTACCAGGCAGCGCATTATTCCTGGGGTGGACTACTCTGCCCCTGAATCTCCTCTCAAACTCTGAGGCGGGAAGACCTCTCACAAGTCTGTGTACAGGCTAGTTAGCGTAGGGCTGGGCAATATGTCGGATTAATGTGATTAATTCGAATTTATGTTTTAGCGCGATGTTCCAAATGCCTGTATCACAGGAATTGAGGTTTTAATATTTTTTGTTTTTGTTTTTATGAGCGTTTGTCTTTTTGGTCTTGTCTCCTTCCCTCCTGTGCTGTCTGCACTGTGCACCTTCCCACTCGTACACAGACACCAAGCCCCTCCTGTGCTGTCTGCACTGTGCCCCTTCCCACTCGTACACAGACACCAAGCCCCTCCCCCTGCCCTCACAACAACAAAGACTAAAAAGTCACTTCTTCCTCTCTGACAACAAGTAGTTTCAACTCGCCATTTGCATTTGAGGTTTGGTCCAACAGAATCGGTCATATGGACACTGAAACTCATTGAGACATTAATTTACTATAATAGAGGAGAAGTTAACCTTTCTAATGATACCCTTTTTATGTCTCAACTCCTAAAATTGCGCGAAGAGCAGACCCTACTAAAACAGGAGTATCAATGAACATTGCTTGAGAGATTGCTTATATGAGACCTGTCTTAATTTTCTATAATGCCTGCTATAAGAGGTTGGTCATTATTAGTGAATGTGCATTATGCATGGTTCTGGTTGAATTTGTAACCAAAAGGGCATTTTCATAGACAGACTTGAAAGCCAGATAAGTGATTATTGCAAAAAAAGCAGGTAAAACTTTTTTGATAAAAAATAATACAATTATTATTGGGTCTTATGGTTGTGGAAGGCTTATATTTAGCCTAGGTAAAATGTCACAAGTCCTAAATTCATTATATTATTGCTGACTGTTTGAAATGCAGTGTATTTTACCTTTAATTGTACAACAAAGCTTATTTAGAGTAAACATTTGTTAAAAATTGAGATATATATTGTGAATGCCCATAAGTTTGAAAAAATGGAGATATGATTTTTCTCTGAGATATGGCCAAGTCCTACGTTAGCATAGGAGTAGAAGTCAACTCAAACATACAACAGTAGGCACACTGGCCTTCAATCATCTATATTATGACAACCAGTGGTTTTCCACATCCAAATGGACCGTTGTCTTTATTTCTAGCCCCTGCTCGCTCTGTTTTTATCAGCCACTAAAGGTTTGCTTTGGATCTTATTTTGTATATGGACCAACTTGCTGTGTTCTCTCTGTGTTTTCTCTCTTATGCTGTAAAGTTAACAGACTTTACTTTGTATATGCGTGCAAGAGTGTGTGTGTTGTCAAGTGGCTGTCAAGTGTGTATATATATATATTAATATTTAAAGGTCTGCTGTGTCTTCTTTACTCTGCAGTGTTGGGACTTGGGAGTGTTTTTTAGTTAGGGTAGACGTCTCATAGTTAGTTACCCCTATTAGTGCTGTCTGTCCCTGATTGGCCTGATGCTTGACTGACGTCTCATTTGGCCTATAGGGTCGGGGATGGTTCAGCACGGGGGCGGGCTTTGCACAACCCTTTTATCGCTGTATGTCAAATGAAAAGCCAACTAAATAAAAGGAAGGGCAATCAGATCCCTGGCTTTTAGGTCAGTCACGACGATGTTGACCAATCAGCAGTCTGAACTGACCGAACACCACTATGATCCTCCAGTCCCACTGCTGCGTGTGGGCGTTTGTGTGTGTGGGCGTTTGTGTGTGTGTTGTCGTTTGTGTGTGTGTGGGCGTTTGTGTGTGTGGGCGTTTGTTTGTGTGTGGGCGTTTGTGTGTGTGGGCGTTTGTGTGTGTGTGTGTCGTAGTTTGTAAAGTAAGGGGATGTTGTCACATTGTAAAACTGTGGCTACCTGCAGCATACATCTCTCTTTTTTCTGTGTGAGAGTTAAAATCTCTCTTGGTGTGTGTCCTGCAAAGTTATGTTGCTGTTGGAGATGTTGCAGAGAGCAGCTCATTAGGAAGACTGACTGAGGGTGAGACAGGACTGTCTGTCTGGTGTCTATAGATACTAAAGAGATCTGTGTCGTCAATACCTAACCCCAGACAGACAGACAGACAACCCCACCGACTGTGGCTATCGATCTCTGTAATATGTTTACATGTTGTTCTATCTTCCTCAATGCTACAAGAAATCAACCTCTGTAACAGGCAGAGATCATTATTAATATCAACAGCTTTCCACACGCTAAAGTTACCCTGGATCATATCAATGTGACTGGCTTGCTATGGCTTTTACATACACGTGTTAATTGTAACCTAACCACTGACGGACCACAGACAATGTTCATGAGGAGGAACATAGTGCACATAACGTTTTAAGGTTGGGCCCTGGTCAAAATTAGTGCACTATATGGGAAATAGGGTGCCATTTGGGACGTATCCTAAATCACCTGTGGTGTGAATAGTGGTATCCTCTAATGCAGAAGAATAGTGGGTGGGTAGGTAGGTTGGTAGGCCATGTGAGGTGGAGGCCCTAAGTCCTCACGGAGAGAAGATGTCATTTGTCACTGGGACAGATCAGCCAAGCTTAGTGTTTTGATTTAACAACTGTCTGCTGTAGCCAATCAATCAACCCCAAACTGAGATAGTATCTCCTCATTGGCCGAATACGTCAGGTGACTCAAATTATGTCATCCTCCATTTGTGTCTGCGTGTTGAGTGTTATTTTATATCAGCCAGATATATGATTTGAAAGTCTCTGTGGCATTCCCCATTTGATACTTCATGAATGTTGTTCACGCACTTGACCCCTGCACATCGAATTACTACAGTCCCAAAACTGATCCGAAGTTCTGATTTGATATGGGTCAACCCTGTAAGAATAGTTCCTACAGTGTGTATTGTGTTGTATGTCATTCCATCTGGACTATACTGGTGGTCCTGTTGTTATTGCTGCTTGGACAGCTGCTACTCTCTCTGACTCAATCCGAGTCCCATCCTCCACCGCCCGGCGCCAGCCTCGCCATTCCCTGACATTTACTGTTGTATCACACAGTCCCGTGTGTAATGATGATGATCCAGCCATCTGTCAGAGGGAAGTCAAGTGTCCGTTTCCCTGGTGGAGTCATTCATCTCTAGCCCTGGGCTGTTGGCTGCTCCCATCCCAGCACACACACCACACCACACACAAAGCAATTTCAGCCAAACAAAACACTACCTACTCCTAGTCTGGGCCCATCACCTCCAATTTTCAGCTAGACCCCCCCCAGAGCCCGAAGCCACGGTAACTACCCACTGTAGGGGCAGTCCTTCTCCCTCTCTCTCTCTCTGTTAACCCTGTGGGTAACCTCCACCCTGGACCCGCCAGTGCTTTAACCTCACTAGATCTCTACAGACTGAGATCCATACAGTATGTGTTTTTATTGTAGACACTGTGTGCAATGTGTTAAAGCCCAGAGCGGTGTTAGGGCTGTCTGTGTTGTTATGGCTGTCTGTGTGCAGAGACCAATGCCACTGAACTGAGGGAAGAGGAGACTGTTGACTTCATATGATGGACTTGACTCCCCGGGGTTCGGAGCAGTATTTTAAAGGGTATGTGAGATCCTGTGTGTGTGTACAGCGTGTGTTTGTGTCTGAAGAGTGTGAAGGAGAGGGGAGTGAGTTTCTGTCTGAAAGGGGTTAAGAGAGATTGCTAGAGTAAAGCCA